GGGGCTCTGCCGCCGTAGGGCCGCGCTGGCCTCCCAGGGCGGCCGTGCGGCGCGGCCCGTCCCGAGGAAGGCAGCCCGGGGCTCCTCCGCGCGGCGCCGCCGTGTGCCGGCGGGAAGCGGCCCGGGAAGGGCGGCGGGAGGCAGCGCCAGGACCCGCCGCGGCCGTTAACGCCGCCCTTGCGCGAGCCCCGCGTGCCCGTTAAGCTTTAGTTAAGCTACAGTTAAATAAAAGTGTGGTCTGCCTTTATTTGCTTTAAGGAATCGCTGTTTTAAAGAAAGCCTYGCTGGGATGAAGCGCGTCGGGGCTCAGCGCCCGCAGACGGGCCGGGCGCCCCGGCCGCATCGCTCCTGGGCTGGTGTCACCACCATTCCCGCGGGTCCGTCCACGCGGAGGCTGCCCAGGAGCACCCAGGAAGCAGCGACGGGCGTGGGGACGTCGCCCCGGCCGCAGAGGGGGCCTGGGTGCCCCGTCCCGTCCCCACGGGGCATCGATTAGGCATTCGTTATCCACAGCACCTCAACGCGCTGGAGGAAACAAAACCCACTCCTCCGTATTTCCCACATAACCGTTTAATTTCCATGTGATTCCCCCTCCATGAAGAGTCCCCTACCCCTCCCGCGGGAGGGTGGGTGGCTTCGCTGAGCGTTGCCGGTCAGGGACAGGAGGGCTCGTGGTGGGGGGCACCCAACACAGCAGAGCGCCCTGGGGCACCCACTGACCCAGTATGATGGGTGAGGGGGTCCCTTGTGCAGCACCCACCAAGAGGGAGCCCTGGGTGCGYGTCCCCCCCGACCCCAGGCCCCAGTTTCATCACTTCAACCCAAAGGGGCAAAATCAGCGACTGAGCGCAGAGATGGGGGGAAGCGGCGGCACTTTCGCTCCCCGCTTTGCTAAAAATACGTATTTTGGAGGACATTCTGCCTGCCCGATTTTAACATAATCCCAGGACGCCACATACTGCTGCTTTCGGCTTCTGGGCTGTCACCTCTTTGTTTAACTCGGTCTTCCCTCAGAATAGATATGTTTAAATTGCTGCGGGAAAGACTCTGATCCAGAATTTGCTTTTGTCACCCGCTGTGATTGCAAGCCCTAGAAACGTCAGGATTAATTCCCGCGTACGTTTCTGCTGGATACCCAGATTTGTAGCTGTCACAGGAGGGCCTGTCCCTCTCCGAGGCGCCGGCGCGGCTGTGTCCCCRCGGGACTGGCTGCTGTTCCCAGCTGGAGCACCTAAGCACCTTCGAAGTGACCCAGGCTGGGTGCAGGTGGCCCCTCCGGGGCTCTGCTGCTTGTGAGCAGAGGGTGAGGTTAGAGCCGGGGGTCCCGAGTGCTGSATTTCCTGCAGAAAGCAGATAACTCCGGGGGGTGTCGCCGGTTACCCACGGGAATAGCGTCTGCTCTAGGCCCTCCCGGGCTTCCCGGGGGGAATGTGCTTCTGCTGTATCGGAAAAGGTAACTGAGGAGCGGGGTCTGCAGGGGTTGGTGACAGCAGGAGGGGCCTTGCAGCATCAAGACTTTTGAAAGGATATGGAGAACTTGGCAGGCATGTAGAAGGGCTTGGGAAATGCCTTGGAAGGGGGGGATGCGAGAACTCGATCTGTTCAGTCCTTATCAAATGGAGGACTGGATGACTTTATTACACTGTAAGTATTTTCCCAGATAGCAGAGAGCTCTTCAATCTTGGGGAAAAAAAATATTGCAATGGGAGTTTTTGTGAAGGATAAAATCAGACCARCTCAGGGTGGAAATACTGTGCAGTGGAAATACTGACCAGGGGCCGTGCTGTTTCTGGTGAGATGGCACCCCTTGGCCAAACTCGCCTTTTGCCCTAGCTAAGCCTTTGGCAGAGGCTGCTAAGTGGGTATTTGCTGGAGCATTCGGGTGGGGAGAGGAGGCGCTTCCTGCTCCRGAGCGCAGGAAGACGTGCACTTACACACGGGAGCCAAGAGTTACTTCTGTTGGCTGCTCGCGTTGAAAGGGCATTTTATCCAGATTATTCATGCGCTGCTGGTAGCTCCAGAGCGCTCCGTGCTACGTCCCGCCTTCGGTTGCACCCGGCGGTTTCGCTGAAGCTGAAGGATCTGTACTGACAGATCTGAAGAAAGTCAGAATTGGAAGTTAAATCGGTTTGCAGCCACTTCTGGTGCACAGCTACGGATCTGGGACAGCGTGATCCCAGCTACGGGCGTAATCCCATTTAAGTGACATATATGCAGATGGAGAAAGTGCTGGTGGGTTTGTTGAGTGGAGTCAAGAGAACTAGAAGACCAGATAAAATAAGGAAGTTTGTGTGTTCTGTTTTATGAAACAGAGGTGAAGGACACGTGATGAAGCAGATCTGCATGGCGAGCTCCAGGCACACAGGGGGTCTCAGAGCTGCAGTGCAGACTGCAGTGCGATTTCCACCTCTAATCCCACGTTCCCCATCGTGCAGCAGTGTTGGATGTATTCCAGTGTGTGCTCAGGGATGCAATGGGACAGGAAACCAGCGGGGTACGGCAGCACTCTGGGATGAGAAGCCTTCGGATGAGCCTTGCTCTTAATGAGTCTCATGTGCAGGAAAACTGAGTGGCTTTCCCGCTGACACAGCCCCCACGACGGGACAAGGCCTTGTTTTCTTTTCCTCCTGGCTCCAGAAATGTGATTGTGCCCTTGAGGGAGAATCCTTGTCTGTCTGGGCTATGTGTGTGTGATGGGGGGTGGACTGGGAGGTCTTCCCTTGGTGGCTGCTCTCTTGCTCGGGGAATGGTTTGTGTGGCCCGTGATGAAGCCAGTCCTTCTTGCAGCACACGGAGAGCTCCAGCTTTGCCAGACTCCAGACAGCCCTTCCTCTGTCCTCATTCTTCCCTTCCTTCTGCTGTGCAGAATAAGAGATGTGTGTGCGATTGTCCGAGCCCTACACGTAACATCAGGTGTGACTTGGAGCTGAAATGCACCTGGCCAACGCACAGGGTGTTAATGAAGGAGGGAACTCGCACGGTCGGAGGAAGGAGACAGCAAAGGGCCTGAGCCTGCCCCGCAGAGCCCTGTGTGAAGCGACGGAGAGCAGGGCTCCAGGTGGTCACCCTGGTCCCTGCGGTGACCAGCCCGCAGCTCCAGCTGCACAACAAGATGCTGCTGAGGAACAAGTGCTGCAGATGCTGCTGTGGACCTCAGGTGCGGAGCTCGGAAAGCTCTTCTGGGTTGTGTCACTGACGATTCCCCAGCCAAATACTTTCTTCATTCAAATTGACAGGTTTCCCAGCAGCTGTCTGCTAAATCCAAAGCAGGTTTCGTAACTGGCCTTCTTTCCCCAGGGGCCCTGGAACAGCTTTTGTTGTCTTTTCATCCTGATTAAACTGTTTTCTTTTTTTGGGTGTGTGGGGAGGGAGGTGGTAAAGAACGAACTGAATGCCTTTAGTCTTCTCCAACCTTAAATGTCATAAATCCAAGTGCAGCTTTCTATCCCTCCTTTCTTGGTGTTGTTGGTACTCTAGCTCTTCCTTTGGAATCAGTCCTTGGCCTCTTGTGCCAGGCTCTGCTGCTGTTGGGGCTCTTGCTGACTTGCTGGGAAAGGGATCTAAGTGGCTATGGAGAAGCTGGGAGCCTTGGATACTTTGGGGCCATATGAGGAGTCCCTGTGAGCTCCTCCTTCGTGTCACCTGAGGGCTGGCGGGGTGCGAATGACCCCACACAGGCTGCGGGATAAAAGTGTCATCGCTTGGACACCCCAGGGCTCAGTTCAGATAAACCAGCACCCACAGCCCCTGGTACTGCTGAACAACTTGTGCACAGCCTGTGGTGAGGGTGCCTGCTGGGGTTTGGAGCCTGAGCCGCATGTTYTGCCGAGCAGGACCTTGCTCTGATGGAGGTGTCGGCCCTCGCATGTGGACGGTGGTCTCGTTTGACTCCTCCTAAATGCTTACCCAGTGTTCGAGTGACGGTCTGTAGCACTCACGGTGTCTGTCCAGCYGTCTTTGCATCTGCTTGCTTGGACTAATAATCACCAGCTCCTCTGGCAGGTGGAATTTCATGCAGGGAAGGCCCCAAGTGTCGCTGCTGGGGCGACGTGTCCCGATGCCTCCCCGCTTGCTCCAGGCCTGCAGGATGGAGCCGCTTCTGCTGCCCCATGGCCTGGCCAGCCTGGTCCCATGTGGCAACACATTCCAGAGCAAGAGTTGGCTGCCAGACACCTCAGGTGGGTGGTGATGGCCTCTCCCCTGCCCCGTGTGCAGGAGCTTCCCCACTTCCTTGGAGCACTTCACCTGCAGATGCCCACAGTGGTGGAAAAYGACTTTGCAACTCGCCTTGAGAAGTCCCTGCTGGGATGGAGAACAAAACACACCTGGACTCTCCATTCCTAAGCAATGCGCAGCCTTGGCTGCCCCATCAGCTTTGGAACTTCACACCTTTAAAAGCTAAACCAACCACCTGGCTCTTCAAAACCTGTCACAAACTACTGGAGCTGGTGTCTGGTRCTGCTGAGCAGCAACACTGCTGCCGCCTAAACCAGACCAGTAAAAACGAGCGTCTGAGGGATGAGGAGGCTGTGAGTCACAGTCGGGATYGAGAGGTTCCCTCTTGCTCACCTGGTTAGCTCTGCCCTTGGAACGGTGCTGCCTGAGGAAGCAGACAGCGCCAGCCTTCCCCTGGGCGTTCCTGCTCATAACAACAATCAGCTGCCATCTGCCAGCGGGCTGGCAGGATAAAACTGGGGAATTCTTCCTCATTAATGGTCAGATTCCAGGGTTGGAAAGTCACAGCAGTCCAGGGAGAAGCAGCTTGGTAGGGTCGTGCATTGAGGGACATGGGGAGGGAACAGGAGTCGCAGGAATGGACTGACTGTGGCTGAAATCTGATGCTCCAGGGGCGCAGGCTTGTGGCATCCAGAAAGCAGTCATCTATCATGGACTTATTGTGCACTGAAGGTTAATCCCCTTGAAACGTATCCCTGGTGCTTCCTCGCTAAGCCGCGAGGCYGGGGCTGCCTGTGCCTGCTGGCTGGTGTCTCTTAGGTCTGCTCTCCCAGGGCTGGTGCGATTAGTTTCAGGATGCTAAAACCAGCCCCACGGGCCCTCGCGCTGCTGCCGGCTCCCCGGCCTCTCCCTGCGGCTGGGAGCCCAGGGCCCATTCACCTGCTAAGCCCTTCCCTTCCCCGCTCGTTTGTCCCAGCCCTCGGAGCATGGAGGGAAAAGTGCAATGCCGAGAACAAATGGGAATTCTTCTTGCCTTTGGAAATCAAACCCAGTCCGTTTAAATCGTTTGTTCTCTTTGAGATTTCCCCGCGTGCCATTGAGAGAGGTCTCCTGTGATGGAGTCAAAGCCTCGGTGCTGAGCAGGGGACAAGGCAGGGGAATCCATCCCTCTTCCTTTCGTGTTGCTGCCTCCTCTCCCTCCCGCTCTCCCTAAAAAAGGGATCAAATGAAACCTGCAGGGCAGATGGATTGGCTTTCAYAGGTTGCCTGCTCAATAAACATGGTTAAAGCAGAGGAGTTGGGGCTTTTTAAGACCACAAAGCTGGGGAGCAAGGAGCGTGTGATGCACGGGGAGAGCCTGCTCGCCCATAGCTCCCTTGGAGCAGGAGATTTCCTGAGGGGCTGGAGCCCARCTGCGGCCACAGGCGGTGGAAGGGGCCTGGGGAACCTGCTTCGTTTTGCTGGTGGGTGAATGGGAGTGAAAAACGTCTCAGTGGCCTCTCCTGCACCCTGCAGAGGCCCGGGAGGGACTTGTAGCCAGAACAAGCTCTCCCAGGGTGGGCCTGAACACGTCATTTAGCTCCCGTAGCCTATTCAGAGATGCAAGTTTCCAAACTGGCAGCAAAGCTGAGACTCCGTCAAGTGCTTGAAGTGCCCTGGAAGCTGCTGCCGCCCTCTGAAGGGTCCCTATTTAAAGCTGAGCAGTCTTCAATGTGTCTGCCGTGTACAAAGGACTCCTCTAGTCTGAACACTCACCGACTATGTTTACTGGCAGGAAAGCTTAGGGGAGTAATGAACTCGGGAAACTGCTTATCTAGAGTCAAAGTATTTTGAAACAAAAGGTGTTTTTGTCCTGGAAACCAAATGATATCATGCATTCAGTAAACAAAGCTGAAAGATACTGTGTCTCAAGTGCCCCACGCTCAGAAAACTTCACAAAGGACCACAGCACTTCGCCCTCGCCCATCCCCTCCAGTTGACATGTGTTCAGGCGTCTGGGAGCAAGAGGCATGCTTCTTTTTCAGTAGTTTTGGTCTTGGTTTTTCTTTGGGGGTTTGCTTTAATGTAAATTCACGACCCGTCTCTCCGAAGGCCTCATTAATAGGGTGTGAACTGGGGGGGAAGGTGCCGCGAAGCGCTGCTTGTGGAGGAGCGTGTGCGGTTGGGTGCTCCGCGGGGCCCGCAGAGCTGCTGCCCTTTCATCCAGGACGTCTCCGCTCTCGAGGTGAGAGGAAATCATTCCCGTGTCCAGGGATCCCGGGATCCGCTCACCCCGCCAAAGCAGATCCGCCTACAGCAGCGGGAAGCTCTAGGGGGGTTAGCCTCACACAAACGTGGAATAATGAAGGAGAGGAGTCCAAATGGAGTCGTCATAGGGCGGTCGGGCGTGCAGGGCCTCCCAAGCACACGCCTGCAGGGTGCCTGCAGGGTTTGGGCTCCCGGGAGCACTTGCTGCTCTCTCCTTGCAGCCCCGGGGTGCATGGGCTGTGCCCTGGGCAAGGGCCAGTGTGGAGGAGGGAAGATGCCCGCTGTGTCCCAGGGTGGAGAAGGGTGTCCCTTTTTCCTGTCGTGCCTGAATTCTTGGGGACCSCTGCGTTAGAGACGTTCCCTCGATGGCAACAGGCCGTGTATTATTTATGGTGCTCATAGCACTCGGCCCGGCCACCCTGGGTGCCGGGGACAAACAGCGGGCAAGRACGGCCCAGTTGCCGCACACGGGAGCATCCGCAGGCCACCGGAGCGGCTCCCGGCTCATTCCCGAGCACAGCTAGGGGTTAAATCTGCTGGCCCTGAGCTGTCCTGCACAGAGCTTATCCCTTTGCTAAGGGATAGGGCTGCTCTGCAGAGCTAAAACACTAAAACACAGTAACAGCGGCCAGGAGGAGCCCTGGACCAGGAGGAGTCCTGGACCAGGAGGAGTCTCCGGACCAGGACAAGCTCTGCGCGCTGCTCCGATGACTYGGTGGTGCTGCCGTGGGTTTGTTACCGTGCTCGGCTCTGCCTAAACCCACAGCTTCATTTGCTCGTAGCCGGCGCTCTGGTTCTCGTCGCGCACCCCCTTGGCTGCTGACGTAGCTRTAACTGCCTGCAAACTAATTGGCCGCAGTTTTGTTGGCCCAGAGCAAATTGTTTGCTGATGTCTCACGAGTTTGTAGGTGGTAGACTGGATCTGCGGGGCGCTGCGTCCTCTGCACCCCCCTGCACCGCTCTGCTTAGTGTGTGATTAATAAAAGTTAGTGTTTGGGAGCGGGTAGGCAGAGCCACTGCCCCGGGCGCCTGCGGTGTGGCCAAGGAGCTTGAGAGGAGGTAAAAATGGGAAGAAACTGGTGCTGAGCACCTCCCGAAGCTGAGAGCCCTTAGGTGTCGTTCGTTGTCTTTTCCCCCTTGAGYTGAATCAGGGTCTGGATGCAGGGAGGGGCTGGAGGAGCCCTGCAGGCAGGGCAGAGCCGGCAGCGCTTCCCGTCCCCTCCGTTGGAAAGGGGGCTCCGCTCCGAGGGGCTCGGGGGTCCTCAGCCGCCCCGCAGGCTGCTTTGCTCCCCCTTCGCCGCGCCGACGAAAGCCAACATCAACAGCCTTCAATTAATGCTACGCTGCAAGCTCAAGGCTACGGGAGCAGGAATTAATATCCCTGAGACTTGTCTAGTTCTGCCTTTTCTGACACCTCCTAATTTTCCATGCAAATTGTCTTAYAGATCTTTAGCTCAAAGGCGGTGTTGTTTGCTGGGGGAGTCTGGCTTGTCTGCCTGGAAATCACCCAGCCTAACGGCAGGGTTGCAGCAGCTCCGACTGCCCTGCCTGGATGCCCTATATGTGCCTATACGAATAACCGCTGCATCTATAGCCGGTCAGCACGAATTTCTGCTCTGCTGACTACTGTAAGGCCGTATGCGATAGCCCCATGCGTGCAAATTGTGCTTATAATAACACAGGGTGTTTAATCCTCCTTTTACATTCATGCAGCTCTGCATAGCAGCAGGGGTAGCTCTTACGCACCTATTAAAAAATGAGCTCAGATTTCTGCCTACCGGAGTCAAGAAAATTCAGCCAGTGCTGCAGGAAGGAAGTGAAGGCGTGAGCACAGCTGAACAGCTGAAGGGAGAGCTGATCAAATGCACCGATTCCCTCAGCTCCAGGGATGTTGCTGCACACTCTGACTTCACAGAAAACCAAATCAGGCCTCTGACTCATAAAACTAATCAGAAAATGAGAATAAGCTTTGTAAGTCATTCAAGCATTTAAAAGTAATTCACCATTTAATTATTATTTTTTTAATATCTATTGACTAGCTCCAATTTAACTGCTGATAACTCAATCACCCCAGCGTGACACAGGCCAGAACTCGTCACACCAAGTTCCCTATACGTGAACAAGGTGCGGGAGGCGTCAGCATCCCGCCCCGTGCTGGGAGATTGCAATAGGGAAATTACCTTAGTCTGCACAATATAATTATGAAGTCTTTTAATTTARCTCAGTTTTAAAGTCTGAACTGGAGATGGGAAGCACAATAGCGTCATTAACAACCCCACGGGAGAAGGGGAGGTTTTGCTGAAATTGTCCCTGTTTGACCCCTGGTTATAGGAGCAAACCCCTGTGAGCCCTGCTGAACATGAAGCCTTCGTCCTCTTCAACAGTTSCCTTCCTAGGACCATCTCCGCAAAAGAGGGTCTGAGTTGTCCAGAGCACTTGAAATATTCATGCTCTCAGTGAGGAGATAGGATGGAAACACAGAGGGCTTGGGCAGCACCTTTCGTTGCAGGTTGGCAGAGGGGTTCAAGCCTCTYGGAGGGGCTGCTGGTTCCTCATAACCGTTTCCTTTCCAAACGCGACTTATAAATGCATATATCTATATATACGTATATTTTTCACTTGGAGGTGTTTGTGGTTCACGCTAATGTGTCCTAAAATGCAGCCATTAGCACCAAAGTGTCGGATCTGATGCGAAGCAGCAGGATGGGGTAATGGAAGCGACATACGGAGCTGCTGCTGCCAACTGTGTCCCTGTGACACGAGGCTGTCCAGGTGCAGGTCACCAGGTGGCTCCTGTCTCTATAGAGCATTTTTTTCTTCTTGAGAGGTGGTCATAAAAGTTCCTCCTTGGATTTTGCTAGGGCCAAGTCTGGTTCATCCTTCTCTTTTCCCTGTTGTTGCATCCTTTAGTTTGGCTGGGAACAATACGTATGCAGAAGTTTCTCCAGCTCACCCACTGCTGCCTTCTACCCTGAGATAGCTGCGTATGGCGGGAATGCAACACAGGTAAATTAGTTTCTGCAGGGCTTTTTATTAAAAACAGCTTTAGAAATATGAAGTGTTGCTCAGAGAGCAACTTGGTAACTGCCTGCAACGTCTCCATGAGGTCTCGCATCCCTCTCGCAATGCTTAGCACGGTAGCTAAAGGATAGAAAAGAATCCCCTTGGGGCCACCATGCTCCTGCAATGGTATCTGAGACCATTATCACATGAACAGATGGATACAGAATTTAAAGAAATGGAGGTTGCAGCTTCTCAGCTGATCTACCCAGGCCCTGATGCTCTTAGGGGTCTTCAGTGCTTTTCTCGGTCACTTATTTTGGTGCTTTTGGTGCTCAACTTCTGATAGCTGCCTTCCTTTTCCTGCATCATCCACTGTTCTTTTCTGGTTTCCTTTCCTGTGCTAAAAGGCAGAGTCAAGATAAGTAGTTGCTTTTCTCAGCCATGGTATTGACTTTATCTGAGACTCCAGTCTGCACTTCCCAAGGATAAAATGGCAATAATTCGTCTCCTTTTTCTAGCCACTTTCTGAGGTTTGGGCCATTAATACCTGTGAATTATTGGATCCAAGGAAGGAGGGGAGAGCAGCACGTGAGCTCTCCTCCTTGGCCTCCTTTAGCAGTGCTGCTGCCATCATTTTGGCGGGGTGACCAGAGACCCAAGAGCAGATGTCAGACTCCTGCATCTCGCAGCCCCTCAAGAAGCTTCTGACATGACTCAGGACTGGTTTCATTGGYCTTACTGTGGTTGTATTTCATTAATTTCAATGGAGCTGCTGCTGGGAGAGCAAAACCTGACCATATTCAGCATAACCCCTTTCCCACTTTCATTCAAAGCTGGTTTGCTCCCCTTCCAGCTCCTCAGGAAAAATACAAAAAAAAACAAGTAATTAGCTAGGCTGTGTTGATGTAATGAATGGTGGGCTGGATTTGCCGGGCAAAGAGCTCCTGAGCATGTAGGAGACGTCCTAATTACCCTGATTGAGATATTATGATGCAGGGCTGATGGGGAGGTGCTGGAATGTTTTGCTTTTTAACCAAAGTCTGAGAGTGTCAGGAGAAGAGGGGGGGGATCTCATTAAATTCCCCCCCAGAATGAGGTGCARTTTATTTCCCGCAGAGCAATCGATGCTTCCCATGCTCCAGAAAGACTGAATATTAATTCCAGCAAACGGGCCCCTTCTCGTTCAGCCGCCAGGATCGGTGTTTTTAAACCGAGCTATCGTGTCAGGATTGGCTGGGGGCCGCAGCTCCGCAGCTTGGCACAACACAGCTCAGCCCGCGAGCAAATGTTTTGCACTTTCTTTAATGACAGTGGTTGGCTGGGGAAACGTATCTGGACTTGAATAAAAATAGAGGATAAGAAAACTTGTTCTCACTCTGAGAGGTGACGTTTTATTCCCTTAGATTTTCACTTCTGAAAGCAGCTTCCTGTTGATAATGCAGCTTGTTCACGTTACTGGCGCGCTTAGATGTCTGAGTTGAGGATTAGAATCTAAAAAGACTTGACCTTAAAATAAAAATTCCTAAAATCCTTTGGGTGTTGAGGTCTGACGTCTTCATTTCCAAGCGAGCAGGAAGGAGAACAACAGGAGACCTCACACGAGCGGTGCCATCGGGCCAGGTCCTTCTCCTGCCTGTTTCCCTCACAGGTGGAGGGACCTGGCTTCAGCAGAAGGTGCATCTCCAAGTATCCTTCTCCTACCAAAACCATCTTCAAGCTCCASTTGAGGTGGTTTCACTCCCCAATTCCACTACACCTGTGTCCCTACCAAATGTGCTACCGCRAAACAGGCTGCTCACTTTGTCTTTCTTTGCTCCAGCTCAGTGGGAGAGAAGGTTCCAGGCCATGCCCCTGAGCTTGCAGGGTGGCAGCAYGATGGCCTGTTCTCCTTGCGGTGTCTCCTTGGAAAATGCAGTGTCTGTGAGTGTTTTCTGGGGAAGCAGCTCACGGCAGCCTGCTGTGAAGGCAGGCAGTCGAAGACAGAGTGTGTGGCACCCTCCAAGGTGGAGTTTGGGAACAGCCACTGTCCCCAGGACAGCTCRGTAGGGTCTGTGACCCAGCGGATCTTCCCTCACGCGATACTAATGCTGCACTCTGCACCCTGGGCCACCTTCTGCTCCCTGTTAGTTGTGCTGGAAATCCGCTAGCAGCCATGGAGCACACGGAAGCTCACGCTGGCGCACGGGCAGAGCCGTGCACGGCTGAGCCTCGAGCCTGTGGCGGCACTTGTGTCACTCAGCCGCATGTTGCGAGGGTGACGCTGATGTAGCCTGACTTCCTCAGGAGGAGGAATGGAGGCTCCTTCTCTCAAACGCTTGACCCTGGGAGTGCTGCCGTTACCCAGTGCAAATACTGCGAGAGCAGCAGCTCTTGGATCCCGAACGGCTGCCGGGGCTGTTCCCCCAGCGCATGTGAGCAGGGCATGAAGACTTTAAAAACAGACAGTCTCCAACGCCCTTCTGTAATGAGGGCTGACGTCTCCCGCCCGAGGGCCCCTCGCCCGTGCAGCGTGTTCCCTGCTCSAATGCCACCCTGTAAATAGGGCGCCTGGTGCCTGGAGGAGGGCAGTGCCCAGAGGGCTTCTCCGGCAGAGCATCGGGGCTCTCTCTGCGATGCCCTTCTGCTTCTGCTGCTCCGTGTCATTTATCCGCTCGCTGCTGCTGGAGCTTCTCTGTAGCCGGGAAGGGGTAGAGAGCAGGTCCCAGTGCTTGAAACCWTCCAAATGAATGGGGAGCCCAGTCAAGTTTCCCCTCTCTCATCTCCTCCGTCTCTTCCCTCTATGGGGATGTGTCCCCCGGCCCGTAGCAGAGAGGGGGCAAGCGGAGGGGCTGCAGGAGGAGCCCAGGCCCTGGCCATGCTGCCGGTGCCCATGGCAGGTGAGCGAGGAGAGGCTGCCAGGTCCTCCAGCCTCGCTCCAGGAGAGGAGCGAGTTGTTGCTGGGGGCCCCTGCATGCGGCAGAAGGACTCAGATGGGGCGAGCGGTCTGAGGACATTTCCCTACCTGCCCCATGGCGGCTCTATTCAATGGAATGAGTCCAATTAGCTGCCTGGGAGGTGTGACGAGAGGCGATTAGTCACCTCCTGCTTCATYTGGGGCCTGAATCACCCCATGCTGCCCTCCCACCCTCGCCAGCTGCCAGGGCTAGTGCTCCCCGGCACATCCCGGGAGTTACTGTGCTCCACATCGCGGGGGTTACTGCTCCCTGGCACATCCCGGGGGTTACTGCTCTCCRTATCATGGAGGTTACTGYTCCCYRGCACATCMCRGGGGTTACTGCTCTCCATATCATGGAGGTTATTGCTCCCCAGTACATCCCTGGGGTTACTGCCCCCCGCATCACACTGCTCTGTGCTCCTGGGCAGGCTGAGCTCCGCGGACACCTCAGAAGCAGAGCAGAGCTTGGGGCAGGACACGAGGCCTTCAGGAGCACGGCTCGGGACGGACCAGGAGCAGGGCAGAGATCAGACCTACCCATCCCCACACTGTGCAAGAACCCAGGCAACTCTCCGGCACCTGGGAAAACCGTTGGTGACGAGAGCCGAGGAATGTTCCCTCGTTCAGCATAGCAGGCCGTGGGGCTGAGCAGCTAGGCCAGAGGGCACCTTTTGTCCTCTTATCTTATTGATATCGTTTTATTCCGCCCCCCCGCCCCGTTTGTTTAGATGGGTCTCKCTTGGCTCCTGTCAGGCAAACGGCGCTGGAGTCCGTGTGAGCGAGAGGCTCGAGGGCCGCGCGCGGCGTGTCCATGGCGCCCTCCTCGCTGCGCGTCCTGCCGCGCGCGGCCCCGCTGCGGCCTCTGCGTCCGCTCYGGCCTCTGCTGCTCAGCTGCGCCTTTTAGTCACACTCTGGGTAATTGAGACAGCGGGGGCACATTACAAATACGAGGAACAAGAAAACATAACGGGGGCGCATTACAAATACGAGGAAGGAGAAAACATAATGGGGAGGAAGCCAGGCGCGGCGCAGAGCATTGACAGGAGGCTGAGGTAACAAAGCCAGCCTGGAGAAGGAAGGAAAATCGGGAGGATGCTTGGCAGTGCCGAGGTGGTGCTGGGCGGAAAGCGAGTGCCGGGCCTAGCTGGGYGCTGGGCTCCGGGGAGCTGGTGGACGGGGGTGGTTGGAGGGTGCTGGTGCCAATGAGAGTGCACGGGGAGCCTAAAGGTGGCCCCTGAGCACAGGGAAGGTCTCTCCCAAGGGCCCACCRTCTGCTCGGGACCTCTTGTCAGCCCCTTCTCCTGGGTCCCACAGAGCCGCAGCTGGGGGGATGGCCCCGGTCAGCCCAACCGTGGGGTTTTAAGCACAGGTGGGTCAGYCTGTGAGTCACGGTAGGCAGGAACAGGCTGGGTCGACCATAAACACCTTTATTGTGAGCCAGATAACATCTTCAGTGTGCAGCTCTCCAGAGCCTGGACAACTCCACTCTCAGTTTTCCCTTCCCTCATAGTTTCCTCATTGCTGCTCGTAAAGGAAAAAGAACCCCCAACCTTTGCTGTCTCCTCCCAGAGTCCCAGTCCTCCTTGGAACTTCCTCACAGGAGAAAAATAACACAATATCTTTACTTGAAAGCAAGGGGGGTTTGGCACAGCACATGTTTGACCTTCACTGTGAAGCCCTTAATTGAAATTACTGACCAAAGAGAAAAAAAAAAAAAAGAAAAGAAAAATCCCATGGAAAGCAGCAGCACAGGTGAAAATTCCTGGCAGTCCAGCTGGGGAAACCTCTGAAAGCCYCACAGTTTCAGAGCTCCATATGTGTTAGCGCGTAGCTGATCTGAGCTGCCTTTTTCTTTAGTCTTTGTAATGAGCAAAATGATTTCCTACTCACTGACTGCTGAAGCCACAKGTGCAAACCAGACATTTCATTTTTCCTCTTGAATGTTGTGATGCGTTGGGTGTTTTGAGGAAGCTGCAAAGGAAGGCRGCCTCCTCTGAGCCGCCTTTCCACRTCCTCTCCCTCCACAGGTCTCTGCACAGGGTRGTTTTTAGAGCTGTGGTTGTAACTCTCTGCTTGGGCTTCCCTGATGCCTGTGCAGACCTTGACACCCAAGAGTAACATGAGGAACTAGCACTGAGAAAACAAGCTCCTCATCATGAAAAGTGACAAATTTGGTGTCAGCAGCAGTAGTTTTAGTGAATTATTTACAGTCCCTTGAAGCAAGACAATCGCCCTTGCCTGATTTTGTTTGTAATATTTACGATTGGCATCAAAATTAGTCAGTTCTGGAAAAGATACTGTTTGCCAAACAGTACGGCAGTCAGGGCAGGAGCAAAGACCAAACAGCAGACTCAGATGCGACACCTGGCCCCATGACATATCGCCCTTCTCTTTGCTTCTAGGATAAGAGCACAGACGGCAGAGCTCACCGGTCATTTTTTCTAACCAAAAATGAATACGTAAGTTTGTTTTTCAAAGGTTCAAGTTTTGAATCAAGAGGCTCCGTATCAGCGCGTTACTTAGAAACACGGGTCATGTCCTGGGGAGGGGAATCACTGGGCAGTGCTTATATGGGTCTGACTCCTCCACGCCAACGCTCCGCAGCTGAAATCTTCTTCCTCTCCTTTCTCTCTCGTTTCCCTTCATCCCCTTCAGGGTGCAGTAGCCAGCATGGCAGAAGAGCCCTCCTGTGCTGGAGTGTCAAGAAGAGGCCGAATGCAGCATCTCATGGGCCAAACCTTGCCCTGGAGCCACCACACGGGCCCCTAGTGAACAGCCACAGTCACGGGCAACGAGCGTGGGGGAAAGTCCTCCAGGAACGGAGTCTGCTGAGTGGATTCCGGCAGCAATTTCAGGCRGACGCTGGCCTCGGTCATGCTGTTGTTGTTGGCAGAGCTGCTGTTGCGACGTGGCTCTTTTGCAGGGCGAATGGCCACCAAGAACTGCCGCTTGAAGGTCTCACTGAGGGCGATGTAGAGGAAGGGGTTGAGGCAGCTGTTGGCGTAGCCCAAGCCGATGGCAAAGTTGTAGGCGTAAAAGAAGGCCACGGACGGGCTGTCAATGCTGAGGTGAGCCAGCTGGAGGACGTAGAAGGGGGCCCAGCAGATGAAAAAGGCAGAGCAGATGGCAACTGCCATGCGGGTGACTCTCTTGGTGCGCAGCCGGAGACTCCTTTGGGGCAGCGGCACCACCGCCGTGGCCATGTGCTGGAGGATCTTAAAATAGACCACGCAGATGACAGCGAGGGGCACAGCGAACGCCAGCGTGAACTGGTACAGGGTGAACCAGTAGACGTCYGTGTCCGGGTTGGGAAGCAAGAGAGCACAGCGGACGCTACCGTCCTCCAGAGGCATGAGGCCCGCGTACATCCACACGGGGATGATGGTGAGGAAGGAGAGCAGCCACACCAAGCAGATAACCAGCGTTGCCACACACGGCGTCCGGACACAGGCCGATTTCAGCGGGTAGACGGTGGCCAGGTAGCGGTCCAGGGTCATCGCCGTGAGGATGTTGGTGCTGGTGATCTGACTGTTGGCGTCCAGGGCAGTGATGAGGGTGCACAGGGGAGCTCCAAAGTACCACGAGCCATTTCCCAGGAGCTGGTGGATGAGGAACGGCATGCCCAGGAGGAAGAGGAGGTCCACAATGGAGAGATTGAAAATGAAAATGTCAGGCACGGTCTGCTTGCACTTGAGCTTCTTCTTCCTGATGATGGTGTAGATGACGATGACGTTTCCCACGATACCCAGGAAACAGATGATGCCGAACAGGCTGGGCATGATCACATTGGTGTGCGGCGCTGCCTTCGCTGCTTCTGCCAAAAGAAASCCCAGCGCAGCTCGTCGGCCGTCCCCAGGGACAGGCGCCCACCCTGCTGGCACCCGGACCCCCCTCCAAGACGTAGCCTGAACCACAAGCAGCGCTTGGAGAGGTTTCACTGCAATAATGGGCATTTCCTTCCCTCCCAACCCACCTAATTCTGACCATGGAGACCRTCTTTCCTCAGCTCTCCTGGGGACCTCTTTGCCATTCCGAAGCTCCCTAGCTGTTCCAGGGGCACCCCAGGCTGCAGGTAGGAATGCCACGTGTCCTGGAGTCAAACCACCCTCCACAGGTGAGGCAAATCTCAGCTCATTACCCCTCTCCTTTAGGACCTGCTTGCAGTATTTTTTTCCACGAGGTTTGAAACTTGGACAAGATGTCCTTGCTGCTGTGCAGCCCACAGGGCGCTTGGGGTGAACCCCTCGTGTCTGCAGGGGGCTCGGCCTGTGCAAGRACAGGGGCACGGGGCTCCGGCAGCTCTTGTGCACATGGGGCTCCAGCAGATCTCGTGCGCCTGGGGTCCATGTGCACGGCGGTGTTGGCACCTGGAAGGTGGCAGGAATGTGGAGTTTCTGTGTGCGCTATAGGTCTCTATACGGAGTCAGGAGTGCGGGTCTGTCAAGTGCTTTAAAATGATCTCTCCTAGAGAAAATCTACAAAAATGATCAGGGGCCTGGAGCATCTGCCCTATGGGCAAATGCTGAGGGAGCTGGGCCTGTTCAGCCTGAAGAAGAGGAGGCTGAGGGGGAACCTGATCAGTGCCTATAACTACCTCAAGGGAGGCAGTGAGGAGGATGGGGTGGCCTCTATTCAGTGGTGGCCACTGATAGAACTAGAGGAAATGGCCACAAACTGAAGCACCAAAAGTTCTGCAGGAAGTTAAGGAAAAATGTCTTAACAGTGAGGGTGACAGAGCACTGGAACAGGCTGTCCAGAGAGGTTGTGGAGTCTCCTTCTCTGGAGATCTTCCAAATCCACTTGGATGCAGCCCTGTGCCCTGTGCTCTGGGTGACCCTGCGTGTGCAGGAGGTTGGACTAGATGATCTCTAGAGGTCCCTTCCAAATATAAGGATCCTATGAAAAAATGTCCATGTCCCTCTGCAGGAAGCTCTGTGTCCCTTCCCAGCCTCATGGGGAGTCTGGTGTCTCTCTGCAGCCTCACGAGGAGCCCCACGTCCCTTCCCAGCCCTGCAGCCCTGTGTCCCTCTAGAGCCCCACAGGGAGCCCTGCATCCCTCCCAAACCCATGGGGAGCCCCACGTCCCTTCCCAACCCCACAGGGAGCCCCATGTCCCTCCCAGCCCCACCGGGAGCCCCATGTCCCTCTGCAGCCTCATGGGGATCCCTGTGGCCCTCCCAGACTCGTGGGGAGCCCTGTGCCCACCTGCAGCCTCACGGGGAGCCCCGAGTCCCTTCCCCGCCGCACAGGGGGTCCCGAGTCCCTCCAGCCCCGTGGGGAGCCCCGTGTCCCTCC